TATAGAAGCAGTGACTGTTTGGATAAGCCACAGTCCTGCTGCTCAGCCACTGCTTTCACAACATTGTGACAGTCCTGGAAAAAGAATGTTTAAGAATAGCTCTAAAGAGCAAAGTTTCGGCTCTGGGACTCCTCAGTGTTAAGGAAAATAAAACAATAGAAGTGCCTAGTTTAGGGTTTTGTGGATACCAGTACCATGTGGTTCAGAAGTAGAGAGTGACTTGCAAAAAGTAGAAAGCAGTAGATTTTCTGCTGTGATAGGTAAAATGCAGCAAGTGGAAATGGTGAAAGCAAATGGCTAACAACATTAGCTCTGCAGGGGTGTTCTGAACAAATATGAATGAGTGAAGATTTTGTTTAATTCCAGAGATGATATTTTATCTTTTCCTGAGATTTAATTAGTGAAGATTCCCTCCTGTTCTTGTGTGAACTGCAGGTCATTATGCAGTTAGTCATAGAAGTTTGCACTTGTTTCCACTGGTGTTTGAATGAGTCATGTCCATAGTGTTGTGAAGCTGTAGACTGTGGAATGTAGTAGGAGTGTGTGTGTGTGAAGCAGAAGCTGCTCAAGGATAAAATCACTGGGTCTTTTACCCTAGTTTACAGAACAAATAACATCAGTCTGCAGTATGTATGCTTAAACACAGTATGTTTAGCATGTTCAAACTTGCACCTTCATACTTAAATAGTTGTGTATTGTTTAAATCTACATAGGTGAAAAGATTTCAGAGACGAAGGAGACATTTGATCCCATTTGATCTCTATAGCATTTTTGTCTACCTAAGCAGCCATGCAACAGCTTGGTGCTTTTTTCAGTTTCTCAGGCTCCCTTTGAGCCTGCATTGTCTTCACACTGATTTGTCAGGCATCGGCCTTTGCACTGTTGAAATTGTTCTTTTCAGCCTCACTTTTTCAACATAGTAGAAAGGAGATGCTTTTGAAAATGTTCCCAGCAAAGGTCACTTTACAGTAAAGAAACATATGAAGTATTGGCAATGCATCCTAATGTTTTTCCTCACAAATAGATTTATAAAAGTGTGGAGTAGCACAGAGCTGCTTCACGGCCATTCAGCAGTTTTCATAAATGTAAGAATTATCTATCTGATCTTTGAATGATGGGGAGGATTTGGACATCTCTGATAATACTGTTGCGTCTACACTTAAATTTTGTTAAAGTTAGCACAGTTTCTTTATAAGTGTGGCTGTGAGGATGGCAAAGGCCTGGAGAAAGCAGATGATTAATATGGCTTAATCTTTCCCGGCCTGTTGTTGCAGGGTTCTTCACAGCAGCAATGAGGACAGGAGGTCATGTACAATTGTTGTAGAAGGATGGAGGTTTTCTTAGAATCAGCAGCTAAGTATTAAAGGATATATCTGTGTAAAGATTCTTTATTGAAGCAGTGCTGGAGAACTGTTGAATAAACCTCAGAGTACAGAAAAAGAAAGGCTGAATGTATTTGAGTTACTGAAATCATCACTATTCTGCAGCCACTGGACTGACTAATTTCTGTTGGGGTTGGACTCTTTTCAGCTGTAGTATTAATTGCAAGTACATGTGCATTATAATTTTATCAAATATATTTCTAAGTGAGTAGTTATTCAGACTTAAACATTTTCCTTAGCAGATTCTCTTGCTCAGTTGTTCATTGTCTTTAATCAATGCATATTTTGAAGCTTGCAGTATGGCAGTACTAGTTTATCATATCAGAAGTACAATATGAGTAGTTTACAAGGATTTTTTCCTTCCTTTTAACTGATGACGACTGATGTTGACAACTTCAAAAGGTATTTTTAAAAATTCTTCCCATGCATTTGGCTGCCAGTTGTGTTGGGAAGTGGAAGAATATCATCCAATAACATCTGAATTCCATCCCCTTGGAGGGAGAGATTGAAGGGTTATATTCCTGCAAGATCAGCCAAAAGAGAGAAAAGTGTTTTCAGGTGTAACAAGGGAGCTCAAGAAAGAATTTATTTTTGGCCAGGGCATCCTTAGAATGGTGGAGGCTAAGATTTTGATGATTGGTTTCTTGTACAGGTGAACTGTTATTGGAGGAGTTTTTATTCTGCTAGTTCCCACACAGACCTTGTGCACGTTATGTGTATCATCAGGCTTTTTTTTTTCCTTTCTTTTTTTTTTTTTATTCTGTAGCCAAACACAGACCGCAAAACAAAACAATACAAACAAAAAAAAGTGGGTCTTTGTTCCTTGCCTCTTGAAATGAGGTGATGTTGGTGTGAATACCCAATATCCCTTTCTTACATTCTTTTTCTGTGACAGACTGAGTATAAAAAGAGCATGAAGTCAGTGCTGTGTCATACTGCAACGCAATGCCATACTTTGAGGTGCTCTGAAAACACCTGTGTCTTCCAGATGACATCTTTCTGTATTATATGGGATCAGCTTTTTGTCTAACTGGAAGCAGGGCCTGTCTGATTATTAGGAAGCCAAAATGTGCAATAAAACCTAACCTATGAACCCAGGGTTTACACAGTAATGGTTGACTTATGTACTGACCCTGCTTTATACATATTGTAGGTAAACATACAAATGAATGAAGATGTAAAGTCAAGCTCATTATGAAGATTGATATTAGCATTTCTTGAAATCCAACAAAATCTGATGAAAAATGCAAAGCTCAGTCTTGTTGCAAGAAACCTTCCATCACGTTGATTTTGAGAAGTATCAGAGCCTGCAAGTACCTTTCATTTGGTCTGGTAGTTATCTAAAAGTGTATTTTATTTTTTTGTATCATCCAATACAAAACAAACAAACAATGAACAAACAAAACGAGGCTGTGGCTTCACCCTTCTTATTAAGATGCCTTACAAGAAAAAAGGAAAAGGCCTGTGTTTTGACCCTTTTTTTCTGAAGGGTCTTGACATTATAGATTTCTTTTGCTGGGAACATGTGGCATAAAGGAGCACATTATCATTGCTAACAGAGAACTGAGATTCACGAGGTAGTTTTGCAATCACTTCCTAGTTATTTTGGCAAACTGCTTAATATGGCCATATTATGGTAGAATTGAATGATAGGAAAATGTAGTAATTAATCTTTACTATTAGTTATTGCAGAAATTTACCATTACTTGAAAATAAACTAAAATATTTGCACAAAGATGAAAAGTTAGACACCAAGGTAAGGTGGGAGAGAGAGGGGAAGATCTGTTAGGAGAAAGGTGAGGAGAGCTCCAACATGAATATCCTATAATATAAACCTGAGCTGGTCGTGAATTGCAGGGTTTGCTACATTTTGCTGTATAGCAGCTTACCAGATTAAGCGTTCTAGTACTTGTGAAGAAGTTTGCTACAGCATCCATTTGCTAAGACCAATTTTTTCAAGGCACTTCTGTTGTGTGAAAGGTGAGTGAGTACAGTGAAGGAAATGTAGGCTTCTCTCTCTTTCTCGTGTTTTCTATGTTTTACATGACAGTAGATAGACTGTTCTGTCTTAAAGTGTTTCTGCCTCTGTAATTTATTTTACTTTGGCTTCATCTGTCATAAAAATCCATTGTCTTGTATCTGAAAATGGGAACAGTAGAGTCCATAGCGAGGCTAGTCTGCAGGAGTAGTTTGTTAATGCAGACCGTAAACCATTCTCACTGCTGAATCACAGAATCACAGAATCACAGTAAACTAGTTGTTAGTCTCACGTTCATTCTTTAGAAGTTTGTTGCATATACAGTGCTGTTAGATCCTTTTTCTGAAAGATTCCACAGCCTACTAATGAGCAAAATTGCAAGGTTTTTCAGAAGTATTCAGTATTTGCACAACTTTCCACGATCATTTGAGAAGAGTTTATGGACTTTGCTGACCTGGTTAAGAATGGCATTTTTTTTTCCAGCCAAATTGCAAACTGTTGTAAAAGAAAATACTTCAATTGTTAGCAGCTTCCTTTTTCTTTTTGCTCTATACTTCACTCCTGTTTTCTCTGGTATGTTTTTACATATTTTCTGTGCATATGGTTACCACAATGCCCCTTCTTTATACATTGTCTAGGAAAATGTTTCAAATGGACCAAATTCGATTTCCACTGGGCTTGGCAGCATTGTTGTTACTTTTCTGAAACTAAACTGGGAATGGAATTTGACCCTTGATAAATACTGGGATAATGTGAAACTGCAACCCGTGCTCCAACATGGACAGCTGAGCACCATCATATTGCAAGACTTCTTAGAAGCAGGGCTGAGAAGCAGGAAAGTTCTGTTCTTTAATGTTCTGCATTAAAAGCCATGAGGGAGCCAAACTTAAAACTGAGTGTAAAACAATAACAGTTTCAAGTGATACACAATTACATTTCAGATAACACGGTAAATTTAGAGACGTATTCTGAGTTGGCTGATTCCAGTGTAACCCATGTCTACATATCTGAAGCTTATTAATAAGTTTCCAATATTATATCATCAGAACTTTCACTGAACAGGGTTCTCTTTCTAAAATTATAGGGCCTATGTTGTCTGTGTGGCAAACTTGATTGACATAACAAGCTTTCTTCTGTTAGCAATGCTATCATTAGAAGTAACTTAAATGGGAAAACAATACAAGTAAAGAAATAAATTTGAAAGCTCGAGAGATTTCTCCCTTTACTTGATATGTTTTAGGTGTCATATAGCTATTATCAGCCATCTTTTGGAGTATGTGTTTTTTTGTTTTTGGTTTTTTTGTTTGTTTGTTTTTTGTTTTGTTTTGTTTTTTTGGTAAGATTGTTTTTACTTCATTTAAAGCTAGATAATGATCTTTATTTCCCAAATTAATTAATAGTAGCTCTTCAACTAGTACTGATTTTCTAGGAGGAATCAGTGGTTTATAAATTAGTTGAAAGTTTAAATAGGCCATCTAGATACACAGGCATTTTTTATCAAGGATTTTAACATGATCTAGTAGCATATTGCTCATGTGAATATCTATTCAGGATGAGAAATACTTGAACTCACCTTTTTTTTTTTTTCTTTTTCTGTTTTTGTGTCCTTTCTTCCTTCGTCTTGCCCTGTTTTCTTACAGAGATCAGAATGTTGTGGATCCTGCTTTGGAGTATGTTAAGGTAAGGTACCAGTTCTTACCCTTCACATATTTCATTCAGAATATAACTAGCACTGCCAGAGTCTTTCCAGTTCTTTGTAGATAAATAGTGCTTCTGTATATCTTTTGTTACAGATAAACTAATTATAAATGTCAGACTGTTTTCTGTGTGCTTCAGTGGACATCATGTTTCAGGGGTAGACTGCATTTTGATACTGGGGCCTCTTTTCTGTTACATGGTGACATTGATCTTTGTTAACAATTTAAAAGAGTTCATATTCTTGTTTATGCATTTCTTGGGGAGGAACATATCTGCAAAAAATATAAAAATGTCAGGTTTATGGTTTTAGCAATACATTTGCTAACACTATAGTTAAAATTTTTCCTTCTGATCCAAAACGTAAGTGGAATCCTGCCAAAACTGTATATTCTGTTTTCATTTTATACAAGGTGAGACTACTTAAAATATATAGATACCTATTTTATTAGTGTAAATCATAACACTCTGGAGCATTCATAAATTTTATTCAAAAGTCAGTCCTGGTTTGGCAATATAGAAACTTTGGAAGAAACCTGAGGGATGTGATTCCATACTGAGAGCCTCTTGTAGTGCTACATGTCTGTAATTTGCATTGAATTAGCACCTTTTACCATGGTTAATTTAAGTGAATAGTATGTCTTAGAGAACGAAAATCTGGTTTACAAATCATGTCTCTCAAATATGGGATTATTTAATTTCTGGCCTTTTTTCTCTGTGTTTTAAAAGATTCTAATTTTCTATAAAGGATCTGAGAAGTACAGATTATCCTTGACTATAGGGTATTTCTGTAACTATTCCATGTGGACATGTGAATTTCTCAGATGTGTATATTACTGCTTCAGGTTAGAGTTGAGGTGACAAAGAGACTAGAGAGCCAATAGCAACAAATTGAATAGGATATTCCAAAGTCAGCTGGGTTCTGCTACTAGAATTCCTTTGTGGGTGTTCATAGTTGAGGAAAATGGGGGGGTGCCCAGGTTAGGGTTGAGGCTGATAGAACAAGTAAACTAGGAGAAACAATAAGGCAGTGTTGGGAAGGGACTGCCAAAGGAAAGTGCCAAGAATTAATTTGCCTGTGGGAGGGCTTGTCTGCCAGACCTTCAGCCTAGGGTTGGGGCAAGGGGAAGGAGTTTAAGTTTGGAGGAAGAGAAGAGGAAGGCCAGAACTGGAAGGCCCATGGAAAAGGGGCTGCCAAAGGACTCAGGGGACTGCTGGTGAAATTCTGCTTTAAACATCTGGTTAGTTCAGTGTTGCAAAGTCCCCTGGAAGTCCTGGTTGGACCTTGGACCTGGCCTGTTAACCTGTCTTGCCTGAGGCTCAGCTGGACTGTCACAGGACTTGTCAGTGTCATCACCCTCATCAGCGTGCTTCTGCCTTGGTACTCTGGGACTGGACCTTATTGGGGAGCTTGCCAAGGCATACCTAGTCCCCTTCAACTGCAAGACAGCTAGTTTTAAACTTTAAAATAATTTAAAAGAGGTAAGCAGAGCAACTTCAGATGCAAATCCTCATTGTTTCTGTAGTGATGCAAACATGCTACGTGACGTTGTGGGTCCCGTAAGAAAGGCAATACTTGTTCAGAACATGCTCCTGCTGGGAGGTGTTCAACATCTCTTCAGAATTGGATTCTGCTGTAAATAGAATGGGCAGAATTAATTCAGCTACAAGAAATAACACGGTTATCTTCTGATTCAACATGCTCTGCTTCACAATGGAAAGAATATCATAGTGCTTATCACGGCAGTAGTGACTACATGCAGACACTGCTACAAAGGGCAAAGAGACTGATGGTAAACTCAGAAGCCAGTTGTATCAATTTTCTCTTTATGCAAACCTTTACCCTGCTCGAATCTGGTGACAAGAAGTAATAGGAATAGTTCCTTGCATTTAGATACGCTCTGGCTGGAGGAAAGGCAAAATAAATTATTTTTCCTTCTCTATTTTGTTCAAGATACAAGATAGAAAAGGCACGATTATAAAATTAATCCTCTGAAGATGTTCTTTTATAGGCTGCTCTCTATAGATGTGCTGTGGTTTCAAATACTTGAATCTAGAGTACAGCTCACAAATGGCAGTTTTCTGCATCTTGAATGTTGATGTATAAGTTCATTCAGTATACAAAGAGACCTAATTATGCAAAACCGAGTTCTAAGGAAAAAAATGTACTGATTTGCTGGAGTCTGAGTACTGAAGTGTCTGTATGACTTCAACCATTCCTTTGTCTTCACAGTGTTGCTGAAACCATGGTCACAGTTAAATGGCTCTTTCAAAACCCCTTTTATGGTAGAAGCAAAAACAGGCCAGACTGCTTTGAGTCAGGCTGCTAAGTCATGAAAGAGATTTACGGACACAAAGGCACGTTGTACATTCCGTGAGATTTTTACAAGTTTTATGAGCCAAATAATAGATCCATTGGTAGTCTCAGCAGGTTCTTCCCACACCGTGAGTCTACGCATCCACAGAACAGTCTCCTGCAAGGGAGAAAAGATCAAGTGCTGGCAGCTTTGAGTGTGTTGGAGAACTTCTTGAGAGTTGTTTTGATCAAATTCGTGTGAACTGAAGATAGCTTTCTGTCCCATTCCTATGCGCTGTAAATACTTTAGGATCTTCTAGACAGAAGCCTGCACTATAGTCATTAAAACTGTATCACAGCAGAAAGAAAGAAACAGATTTCTCTCTTCATTTTATGTAAGTCTTTTTAGTATTTTCCATGGAAAAGTGCTAATAAGTACAGAAGTACTCATCAGAATATTACTAAGGCCTGAGATTTTGGAAATGTATTTTAATCCATTAGAAGAAGAATTACAGAATTTATGACTGATTGTCTGCTGAGCATGGTCATGAGGCAAGTTTATATTTAGATTCATATTTGAAAATCAACTGTCAGTGGTTTAAGGAAGTTACAGCTGCAGAAAAATGCCATTCCCTTGTGATGTTCTACTGAATGATACAGTGTTTCTCAGCACTATAGTGTTCATTTTTCCCTCAGTTTTACTCCTTGATTTTTTTATAAAGCAAGCTGTCATAGATCATATTGCCATTTGTGACAGCTTTAGTGAACACAACTAAAAATAAAATGCTGGTGACATTCCAACGTGTTGGTTATATCTAGTTTTGCAAGATAGGACAGTACTTTGTGGGTTTAATTCAACTGCAGGGAACTTGGATCCCATGATGAGGTTTATTGATGCACAGTTTGTATTGCACAAATTCGTCGTATTGTTGATGTCAATCACACGTGGGGGCATTTGACCCTCATCATTCTAATGGCTGTTCCAAGAAGATAACTTGGGAGGAGCACTGTCAAAAGGGAAGTTTGTGTATTCATACATTTGGGAAGGTTTAGAAAAAAATCCTTGTCAGCATAACATGTATTTGCAGTTTGGGAAAGAGTTCTTCCTGATCACATTTGAGATTGCATTGCAAGAAGCCTTTTTTAGACATGGAAATATATTAAAGAAATCCCCACACTGGAAAACTTGCCAAGTACAGTGTATACCTGTTTATGAGCCGCTGTGTATCACTCTCCTGTAGAGACTTGTCTGTTGAGATGCGAGTTGTGACTTGTGAATGGAAAGTTTGTTGGGTTTCTGTGTTGTCTGACTGTTAGACATTAAGTATCTGAGCTTGGAGGATTGACTCACACTAAGGCACCAAATGTTCTTTTTGACCCTGTAAGTCTTTTTTTTTTTTTTTTTTCCCTTTTGCAACTGCAGTAGTGGCAACAGCATCACAGAAGGTAAAAGTATCAGGTGAGTATTTCAGCAAGGAGAAACGGAGTATGCCCATACAGTTAAGTTTGACTTTAGATGTTGCTTTGTCACTACGGGATTGGTATCCAATTTGAAGATCGTTGGCTTGACATCATTGGTCTCAATGATGTTTTACTAAGACATTTACATTTTTTCATGTTTCTCTACTTTGTAGGAGCTTATCCTTCACAAATATCACTCCACAGCAGTTACCTCTTGTACATAAATTGTGTAATTCAGAAAGTTAAGATACTGTTAGATCTAATCTAATGTTAAATACATAAATTTATCTAACTCACAGTGGAAAAAATCCTTAATTTTTGAGGCTTGCTGGCTTAACTGATAGTTATACGCTGCCCTCTGCTGGAAAAATACACTGCACCTGTATTTTACTCGACATGGATACTAAAAATCAAAATTTTCATAATTTATTATAACTTTCATAGTAATAAAAACTCATTATTTTTTTTTCTGCAGAGGCAAAGAATGAGGAAGAAAGATTTCCACCATCTATGCTTCCTCTTAAATCATAAAAGTTTTTGAGAAATTCTTTATGAGGGTGTCACTGACATTGTTATAACAGATGTTCTAATCTGTTCAGCAGCCCAGAAAATTTTCAAAAAAGACTTAAGGATTTGTATATGTAATTGAAATTCAGCATCTCTTAAGTAGTTAATTGCCCTAAAATCATTATGAGAATCTTGCTCCCATTTATTTGAAGTTAATGCAAACTTGTTTCATTTGATAGAGCAGTTATCCATAATTACACCCAAGCTTCAATACTTTCCAATGTTGAGATTTGTTTGACCCAACAGGCTACTGTCTGAAAAGATGGCCGAGTCAGCAAGTCTTTTGGGTACAAAGTGATGAATAAAATTTAAGATCGTGTTTCCAGTAAATATGCAGGAACAGTGATTCTACAGCTGTGCAAGACAATGCTTTTCTCAGTCTGCTGTCCTAGTTCATGTTTCCCTAGTAGGGTGATTCCCAAGTTAGCCTGTTAATGTCTGGGGCTTTTTGTTCTTTCCCAACCCCCAATTCTTGAATGACCTGATTAGCTCTTAAGATCTGGGTTTTGTTGTGGTGGTGGTGTTTTTGTTTGTTTTAGTATAATGAGAGCTGAGATTTTATTTTATTTTTCCTTATGAATTTAGTCAAGTGGATAGTAACTTTCTAATTATTCTGGCCTTTATTTTGAAGTCTTTTAGCAGTGGTTCTTACATTCTCTTT